ACATCTGACTGCAAGTAGCTGAAGGAGGAGCTCTGGAGAGTGCAGGAGGTGCTGTGGGCATGGCTGCAACTGAACACCACCATCAGAGCAGCCAGCACTTCTTCCACAATCTGCAAGAGGCCCCACAGCACCCAAACCTCATGTACATGAACCCTCTCAGCGTGATCATGACTACTTCACTTCTACCTTCTAAGTCCTGCAGAATTGTCTCCTGTGGACAGCACTAATGCAGAATCATCCTGGGAAGGGAATTCTGGGAAACAGTACTAACTTTGCCAAACTGATGTAATATAAAACCACCAGGTCTTGGTAAAATGCCTTGATGTTTCACTGCACTGTACCTCCACAACTGGTAACAGTAGATGCTCTGATAAGTCATTTCCTTGTTTCAACTTTAGCTCATTTCTTATGAGAAAAATTGTGATTAGTACCTTTACTACATAAGTACCTTAATTATTAATTAGTACATAAACACTTTTATAGTAAAAGCATTACACATCTAAGGATTATATTTATTCTCATGTGAATTTCTAGCTCTCAGCATGTGTGACTTACATCTGATGAATTGAAATTAACAAATTTACTTTGAATAAAAAAGATGCATTTAAATTCTACACTAGGAACAACTGTGAAGACAAAAATATAAGCTACATAGTGGGGAAAAAACATTTGCCAACAGCATACTTGACAAAAGACATGTACTTAGAATGTATAAAAAACTTTAAAACCCAGCACAAAAAAAAAAAAAAATTCATTTAGAAAATGGACGTAAGACACAAGGGCACTTTTTTGCCAAAGAGGAAATACAAGCACAAGAAAATATATGTAATAGTATTGGCCACTAAGGAAATAAAAACTAAATATACTGATATACTACTATCACTACAATAAGAAAAGGAGCAACAATACCAAGTGCTGGCAAGGAAGCAAGCAACTGACTTAGTCATTCACTGCTGGTAGAAATGTCTGGACAACAGTTTGGCAGTTTCAGAAGGAACCAAACATGCAACCTCCATACAATGATGTTGTACTCCTATATATTTCCTCCAGAGAAATAAAAATTTATGTTTACGCCAAAACCTATAAATGTTTAGAGCAACTTCATTTTAAATATCCAAAACAACTTAGAAGTCCTCAACAAATGAATGGTTAAATAAACTGTGGTATGTCTATGCAATGGAATACTACTGAATGGTTAAAAAGGAACAAACTACACACACATGCAACAATCTGAATAAAGCTCCAGAGACAGGTTGAATCAAAGAAAGCCAATCTCTAAAAATTATATCCTATATGATATAAACAATATTGAAATGGTAAAATTACAGAGGTGGAAAACTATTGGTTATTATGGATTAAAGTGG